AAATAATGTACTATTCTCTGATATAAAAGCTCTCGCTATATACTTTATAACTTCTTCAGTTATACTGAAATAAATTCAAATAATAACAATTAATAATTAAAATTAAACTATTTACTAGAAGTTGAGTTCTAATAATTATAGATGTTTCAATCCGTTTCAATCATTCTGTCAGTTTTTTTGAAATGGATAATTTTCTTCGTAGTTTCAAAAACATCTACACTTATTAGAACTCAACTCAACTTCTAGTAAGTAGCTTAATTTAAATTATTAATTGTTATTATTTTAATTTATTTTAGTATTACTAAATAAGCTATAATACAAAGTACCTATACCGTGGATACGTAAAGATTGGGATGAAAACCATAAAATATGTTAGGTTGTTATTTTTCACAACACCTAGGACACGTCGATTTTTGATTTTAGTGGCTGGTTTTTTGATGATAATAACATGTATACAGGGTGATCCAACAACAAGGTATGGAAGCTAACTTTATTTTTTTTAAATGAAAACGCCAATTTTTTATTTTATTTTCTAATTCCACGTTAAATTCTGAACCTATTTTGTTTATCACATCAAATATATCCTATAGTTATCTTCAACTGTTTCGGAAATATTAACACTTGACTTTTTCCAATTTTGACAGCCTGTAAAACCTATACGATTGGTTTTAGAGCAAAACCGCTCATACATGCTTGTCTAGTTTTTCGTTTTTCATAAATTATCATTCAACACTAACTTTGAATTTAATCCATGATTAAAAATTCCGGTTTACACTTTTTCTCTTCAATCAGACATTATGGACCGTCAGCTAATGACATAATTTGCTGACTGATTTTCTCTTTTCTGGGATTTATCTACTGAAAAAAATGACAGTGCTGAACTCAAAAAATGAAAATTAAGCAACCGGACGTCTGTTGTTTTATACAGGGTATCCAACGACATTTTACCCAGGTGATAACTTCATCGGAATCATTTAAATACACACAATTTTTTGTTTTATATAATAAGTTATCGAGAACTTGCAAATTGATATCATGTTGTCTATGTACACTTAAAACCGCTAATCCATTAGGCCGATTCTGTAACAAGACAAAATATTTAGTTGGCAAGAAAATTAATTTATAGGTAATAATAATTAGGTACCTACCTGTCCAATTGTATTGCGGAGATATGTTTTAAGTCGCTTCAAGGTCGAAAACGATCTCTCTGTAGATGCAGTGGAAACAGGTAATGTCGCAAGCAACTGTAGCAGCCTATAAATATTCGGAAAGAGTATTGCGTTGCATCTTCTTAGGGCATCTACAGAATTCGAAGGCAAAAAAATTTCGTTTTTATTGAACTCACAATCAATAATTTGATGCCATAAATGAAACTCGGCCTGAATAACAGTTTTCCCTTCAAGCATATCATCCTGTTCATAATAAGTAATCAGACTATCAAGGCCATCAGTCCATTCGTGTAATCGCTCATTGGAAGACGGCAGTAAACTAGAAAATCCGCTAAATAAATCACGATGGGCCTCAATACTTTCCTTTAAAGTTCTTAAAAACGCATCCAGAAAAGGTATGAACACAGTTATTCTGTAATATTCTTGTGGATCGTTTACTTTTGGGTTTGCGCGATGACGTTGTTTCATCGCCAATCGTGGAAGCTGTATTTCCACGTCATGCTCGCTAGCTAGGCTCTGAGCCTTTTGAAATAGTTTATTAAATTCTAACTCAGCAGAAGATCTCATCTTTTCGAACACAATGGTTAGATTGCTAGCGTGATGAAGAGCCGCCATCAGATCGATATTTTTACTTTGCAAAAATTTGCTAAAAGGCAGACCGTAAGAAAATAAATATTGCACTACAATAATGGCAACTAGGAATTCTGCAGAAGTTAAGGTGTTTATAAAAGCAGACGCTTCTCGCGATACCGATTTATCTGGCCAACCACTTATAACATTTAACGAATTAATGACTGGATCAAATAGTTCTATAAAGTCATCAACAGCGTGAAATCTCTTGATCCATCTTGTTTGACAAAGTCGTTTTAACCCTTGAGCGCTGGATAGCTCTTCTTTTCGGTGAAATAGAAAAGTTTCTTATTTCTTGAATGGTACCCAAAGCATTTCCAACAGCGGGAACGCCGCATGCATCTGTCACTACTGAATTGAATACATGACCCATACAATGTATGTACATATGGGGCCATCTTGTATGTTTGTGCAATGACAGCTTGAGCACCATTCAAGTAGCCAGACATTGAGGACGCTCCATCGTATCCTTGGCCTCTTAAGTACTGGATATCAATGCCAAGCATTTTTAGCTCTGATATGATAGTAGTCGCTAACCCGAGGCCGGTTAAATCAGTTACAGGTACAAATTTTAAAAAGTCTTCTCGAATTATATTTTCTTCAAAGTTATAGTATTTTACTCCAATTGAAAGCTGTTCGATTCCAGAAATATCAACAGTTTCATCAGCAAGTATTGAAAACGCTTTAGCTTTATTTATTCTGCGGACAATATCGTCAATGATAGCTTTACCGCAGGCTGCAATAATATCATTTTGGATTCCAGGACTTATATATTTGTTACGTTGCCCCTCTCCTTGTAACATTTGTTTTAGGTTTTCATCGGCTCTAGCTGTATATCCTAAAATGGCTCTTGAATTCCCTTGAATAATTTTGTCGTCTTCGAGCTCGATATTTACTTTTCCGTTATCACGGTGGCCACGTAAAGCCATTTCTTGACGACCGCAAAGAATAATAGCTTCAATTATTGGGATCAATTTCTGCCTATTGGTCTGAATTTGTTTTTCTGTCTCGGAATCTATAATTACGTCAATTGAGGCTCGTTGACCTTTCATAAATTTAATAAATTCATTAGACCTACAAATAGCGTTTGCATGATACACTTTTTTTTCATGTTCACGGAAGTCTTCCAGTGCATTTTTTCACGTATGGTATGGTTTTTTCACAAATAACCCAAGCTGTTGACTATTTATTCTGGCTTGTGCTGGAGCGAATAAAGCGCAAAATTTACAAAAGGCTCCATCAACTGTTGGTGAATAACTCAACCATCTACACTGTTGCAGCCAATTGTAACAAAATTTTGTACGTTTTTCATTAGTTGTTGACATGCTGTATGGAAATGCAAACAGAGCTTGAGGAGTCCATATATTCTCTAAGACATCCTCAAGCTTTTTATTTACAAAATTTACAATGTCATACTTCCTATAGACTGAAGTTCCAGCACTTCCAGCATCAGGCTCCTTGCTTGGTTCTAACGGCTCAGTGTTTTCCGTAGCATCGGAACTTTTTTCTGGTGACAATAATTCGGTTGCGACCTCGGTTGCGACGGTTTCAAAGGCATTGCGAACTTCTCTTTCTGAAATAAAAGAATTAAAAGATCCCCTAATAACAGTAATAACACAACAAATATTGTATTCGCAGTTGTGTCACTGCGACAGCCCAACGTAACATAAAATTTTCTATTTATCTACTTTCCAGTTTTTGATTTCTTTGAGAAAAAGTCAAGAATGGTTTTGCTTGTACTGGCTTTTCGTTTTTCTGACAACATCACAAATTAAGTAGAACGTAACTTACTTATTTTTGAATTTATACTTCTTCATTAGCGGGGGTAGTGAAATGAAAAATTTCGACCGAAGTGACGACATCAATGTGACGAATCAAATGTATTGATTCCCATCTCTCTCTCTCACTCCTATTACCTTTCTTCCATCAGACATTTCTGTCTCTGTTTTATCTTGGAGTGCGCTCGAAACCACCCTGGCAGACCAGGGCTGCGTTCGAGAACCTGGTGTCAAGAGTTCAGAACACTAGAGCTAGTCGACCCCGATTTTAAAGGAACAGATGCGCTGGCTTTCGTGCATTTAAATGGTTTAGTTCGGGCTTGAGCACTTCAGGTGCAACAAACACTTTTAATAATAGGCGTGTAACGCCCCGGAGCTGTGCCGGAGCTCCTCCTGAGTGTGAAACGAATACAATTAATGAGTGAGGGTCCGACACACTTCGGTGTGTAAATCCTTTAGGTTTTCGAACAGTGACCGAGTCGTTTGTGGTGTGTTGATGTGCTTATTCAGTAACTTAAAATTGAAAATACATTTCTGGGGGGGGGTCGGGCCCCCTGAGCCCCCCCCCCCCCGTAAATACGCCACTGTATAACGTAATAAAGAAAATTTTGTAAATTCGGTTCGATTTTATTTTATAAAAATGAAGACTATTGTAGCAGACAGCGAAGACATCTCGTATTTGTTTTAAGTATTAATTAGGTAATTATAAGGTGCAAATATAGGATATAGGTCGACAGTATATTTATATTTAGTTCTAGTAACTTCAATTAGGATACGTGAATTAAGTTTCAAATCAGAAACTTTACTTGTTTAAAAACTTTATCTTAATTAACTAAAGTAAAAGTGAAGTAACATAGGTATGAATGATGGAACTACTTGCTGCTGCAAAGCATGAAAGCAAAAGAACAATTGTGCATAGCTGCACCGCCTTAAAACAATGAATTGATTGACTAATTAACATTAGTTGATATGGGAATCCTTCAATATAACTCGTGAATCATCATATATTTAGATTAAGATAATAATCGTAATTCATAAACATTCGATTATGAGTTGCATTCCATGATGAACCTATACTTTGAAGTTTAGCACTTATTTCTTCTCTGGCATGTAACACGAAATCTGGTTGAACATCACACTATTTATTTTTTCTTGGTGAATTTTACCTCCAATGCATTGCCGTAATAATAGGGTGGCAGGACCGACCACAGGATGTACTGGGCGCATTATAGGGTTGGTTTGCTGGTTAGCCGACCGTTTCCAGTTTTCGACCACTTCAGCAGTTTTTTGGTGGAAGTAGGAAAACATTCAATATATGTCTCTATCTCTCACTCACCTTCAATAGATCATAGTATCCCCCACCCTGACGTAAAATATTGGACAAATCGCGTGACAATTGCAGCCAGTTTAATTCGAAATTTCGATGTCTGCACAGCGTAACGGTCAATTCGCCAGATTTCCTAGATTTTACCTAGTGAAGAGTGCCTGGGAACGAACAGGTAAGTAGCTGATTTTAGCATTTTCTTTCAATTTTCTCTACATTGTTCATACGTAGGATAGATTCACACGTATTCAATTAATTATTTTTATGTTTATTTAATTTTTTCCCTAAAAAAGCGGGTGGTCGGGAAACCGGGTACCAAAAAATACTAAAATTCGGTTTTTGACCAGGTGGTCGAAAACTGGTTGAAAGATCTTTGTTTTCTTTTGATTCCATCGTAGTCTTAACACTGAAAATAGTAGCTTTTTTTATATGTTAAGGAAGCTTTGAAAATACATAAGTCTAATGTCCAGTTCTCGACCGCCTTTTTCTTGGTGGAAATACGAGAGTAAGGGCTGTGAAATATAGGAAGATTTTGGCGGTCGAGGAATGGCCAATTTGTCGACCGCATGCGAAATACAGCAATATATTCGTGGTCGAGAGAAAGGTCCATTTATCGACACCAATAGCTAGTATTATATTCTCAAGACCATAATTTGCAGATTTGATCGTGGATTGTTACGTGTTCGATGTGACAGCAAAATGGCACCCAAAAAGAAGCTCAGAGCAGGGAAGAAAAGGGATTCTGGCGATGGTGAATCGAACGAACCGAAACCAAGGGCAGGTATGCATACCTAAACAAACCTCATTTTGAACCTCCTAGTTCCTAGGCATCTAGAGACAATTTTGAACTACATATATTTAAATTATGTACCTACGCGTATACCTAAGTATACGCTTAAGTACGTTTTTGAGTCATGTAGGTACCTACCTACCTTTAATTTTTTTTTTTTTTTACAGATGGCAGTCCCAAAAAAAAACAGTAACTGGAGCTGGGATGAAAAAGGAACGACTGAAAAGGAAATTTTTCAATTACTCACATGAGGCGTTAAAACTGGCCTTGCAGGAAGTGAGAGCTGAGAGAATTAGTATTAGAAAAGCTTCTCTTCATTATGGCATCCCAAAAACAACCCTAATTGATCATCTGAAAGGGCGGAGTAATATCACCCTAAAAAGGAAAACGGGTCCACCCCCAGTACTTGGTGAAGGCGTAGAAAATAAAGTTAAAGAATGGGTACTTAATATTGCCAAGTGCGGGTTTCCAGTAAACAAGCAAGATCTACTTGACACTGTTCAAAAGATTGCCAAAGATATTAAAAAGGCTGACAAATTTCAAAACGGAAGACCAGGTCAAAAATGGTATAGCAATTTTTTAAAACGTAACCTTGAAATTGCAGTGAAAGAGGCAGAAGGAGTAAGCAAAGCTAGAGCTATTGTGACGGAGGAATACATTAGATCTTGGTTTTGTGAACTGGCTGAATATTCCAGGGAAAATAATATAGAGGATCTGTTTAAAGATCCCTCTAGGATTTTTAATGCGGATGAAGTCGGATTCAATCTATGTCCAAAGAAAAACAAAGTTTTGGGTCCTAAAGGTTTCAAAAACCTTTTTACTATAAATATGGGTAATGATAAACAGAATGTAACAGTTCTTATTCTTATCAGTGCTGATGGGAAAATTGCCCCGCCTATGGTAGTTTTTCCCTTTGTAAGACCACCAAAAACTATAGTAGAAAGCATGCCTAAATCTTGGGTTCTGGGAAAGTCAGATACAGGATGGATGCGAGGTGATGTATTTTATGAATATATCGCCAACGATTTTGCTAACTGGCTTCAAGAAAATCAAATAGAAAGGCCCATTATTTTATTCATTGATGGCCACAAATCCCATCTTGCATTGGCTGTTAGCGAGATATGCGCTCAGTTAGGAATTATTTTGTATGCGCTGCCTCCAAACACAACACACCTACTCCAACCTGCGGATGTGAGTGTTTTCTTTCCAATGAAGGCACAATGGAGAAAGACCCTTAGAGAGTGGCACAGAATTCCGGGAAATGAAAACATATCCGTTACCCGAGAAAAATTTTGCCCTTTATTTCAAGTAATTCTCGAGAAACGTGACATGAAAAAAAGCATAACTAATGGATTCAGAAAATGCGGACTATTTCCTCTGGATCCTAATGCAGTAGACTATACGAAGTGTATCAAGAACGTCTTAGAAAATTTACACAAGGAACACGAAAAAAAAGAACATATAAGTGAAGAAGAACTGACTTTGGCAGAAAAGGTAATTACAAGAATTAGAGACAAACTAGAGGAACGTAATGTTGATGTTGAAGTAATTGTTGAAGTTATTCGGAAAGAAATTGAAAGCAAGAAGATAAACGAGCCCATTTCCCAGGAAAACGGAAAGGAAAATGTAGGAGAGGAAGTGAATCAAAATGAGAAAAGCCAAGTTTTACAAATTGGAGATATTGTATCTTTGGAAGACGTACAGATACACCAATGTGCAATTACGGAAATTCCTGATACAGCTAACAATCAAAGCATGCATGACTTTATTGAACTAATGGACGCAGACAGCTTCAACTTAACTAACGAACTAAACAAAATTAACTATAATGACACAATAGAATGGGAGTTTGAGGATACTAGTTTTATCCTAAATACTGAAAATAATAATGATATAATAATTGAGAATAAATCTTCACAGGAGAAGATAGTAGATGAGATTGTGATGAGTATTAACGACGCCAAATCAAAAGACTATATAAATGAAGCTGAAAATAAGAAATCACAAGTAGAAATGATGGAAACTAATACGATTGCAGAGGCAGTGACAGATGATATAATTATAGTAACAATCGAAAAGACTAATGATATTGAAAATAATGAACTTGAAGAGCATGGCGAACACCTTGAGAATGGAAATTTAGAAAATGCAAACATAGTATCAAACGAAAATACCGATTTAGGGGATAAAGTACCTGAAGAAAATTACGCACACTTTGAAAATAGGAACTTAGATGATATACCTCAAGTATCACACGAAAAGACTGACAATGATAAAACTGAAGAGCATGATACAAACGTTGACACTGGAGACCTAAATAATATATCAGGAGTATTGAAAGAAAAGACTAACGCAGAAAATGATGATGCTAAGGGACATGATATTAGCTTTAATAATGAAAATCTTGATAGATACCTAGATAAAGAGATAATAATCAACAATATGTCGAATTCTGAAGATGAACATGTGGATAAAGAAGAAACAACTAATGAGAATAAAAAGGCTAATAATATAAAAGATAAAAACGGAAATGAATTGATGAATGAAATTGACTTGAACCTCGTTGAAACAGCTCAAAAAGAAGTAAATTCAACATCCGATGATATCCTTAAACCAACTATAGTGCAGGAAATATCACCATCCGAAACGTTTAGGAAACACCTAAGATATCCACATGCTATAAATAAGAGTAGTACCAATAAAAAACTTCAAAAGATGCCTAGTGCAATATCATCGGCTAAATGGAGAGAGTACTATAAAAAGGCGGAAGAAATTAAAAATAAAAAAACAGAAGAAGTCGAGAAGAGAAAAGAACTAAGAAAAAAAGCCAAAGAAAATAAAGAGAATAAGAAAAAACTCAAAACAAAGACAACTGCTAGAAAAAAGCCCTCTAAACTAATGCAAAAGCCTTTGTTACCTCAAAAAAAAGCAAAAATTAAATGTGCAGAATGTGGGGAAGAATTGGAAAGTGAGACTGAAGAAGAGGATGAAATGAATATTGGTTGCGATAATTGTGAAAATTGGTTTCACATGAAATGCACCGAATTTTATGGGATACCATATGCAGAGGCCTCGGAAAAAACATATAACTGTGTTAAATGTACCTATTTTATTTATTTTTGTTACCTACCTACTAACAAATGGTTCCTGATAATGTGATTTATTTAAGTTTACCTGCTTGTTTTTTGAAGAAGAATTTTTTTTTTTTTAAATAATATAGATATCATTTAAACCACATTTTGAGTTATTTATTGCGCTTTTAAATCCCATTAAATAAGAAAAAACTGCTGTCGACAAACAGGTCTGTTTTTCGACGGTGGGTATCATTTTTTCAGAAATCTAGAAAAACTGCTGTCGACAAACAGGTCTGTTTTTCGACCAGTTAGGTCGAAAACTGGGAAGGCAAAGGTCGTCTTGAGGCAATTTGTGGTCGAAAACCGGCAAAATCGACAATTTTTTCTTTTTTAATAGTTAAAAAATAGAGTATGACTTCAAAAATTTCACAAAGATATATTTTTTATTCTAAAATGTTTAAGGAACAATATGTAACCCTCCTTGATATCCAAAACAATAAAAACATATAAAAATTGGGCTTCAAAGTTGAAACTTCTGTTAAGTGGTCGAAAACCGGCGAACTTACCCTACCACTGTTTCCCTTCCCCATAAATAAAAGTTAAATCCGCCCTTGGTCAAGTGACGACAACTTTAGTATTTTAAATGTAACCTATGATATATTATGGCATTTTTCGTTAGAAAACTAAATTACAAAATCGGCAATACCATATTTGTTAAGGTTTTGTTGAAGAAAATTATAAAAAAAATATAGTGAAACATACTGTACTGATGATATACCTATTTTTGATAAAACTCTAGAGCAACATGATCTTATTTTGGAAAAATATTACGACCTAAAGAAAACAATTAAACAATACCAAATTTAATGAAAGTAAATTTCAATATCGCTTAAAACAAGTACAATATTAAACTGTGAATTTCGAAAATGTTTTCTGTTTTTGAAAGTGGAAATCTTAGCAATTAAGCTAATAACAGTGAGTAATATTTATTTATGTATCAAGGAAATTATGAGGGTGTTAATACCCCAGGGCAAATTTTGTGTCCCGAGGACACCAATTGCCCGTGGGTATTAACACCTGATAATTCTCGTGGTACATAGATAATTTTATTTCCTACTGAATTTACTGTATTTTGTCCATTTTTATGAAGAAATAAACCATAAACCAAAATTCTATTTTTTGTCAAAGTTTCACCTATTCAAGGTAAAAGCGGGAGTTATGGAAATCCTTAACTCCCTTGGGAAGAAGATTTTGCTCCCGCCTAATACCCGCGGATTTCCTTAACGCGATTTTTTCTCGGAATCTATAAGTCCAATTGGGCTTAAATTTTCAGGGATTGTAGCCCGCCAGTGGGATATGAATCGCTGAAAATTTCAGCTTTCTATCTTTAATAGAAAAAAAGTTATGACTTTTCAAAGTTTTCCAAAATCTAAATCATAAGGTAATAATAATAATAATAAAAGCGCCAAAGACGCATATATTTCAAAAATAGCATCAAATTGGATGCAATATAGAGCATAATTACATATTTAGAAATACAACTATATGAATGGTTAACAAAATATTCAATACTAGACAGTACATTTACTAAATGGTAATGCACAGCACACCACAACTATTTTGAGATAAGGTATAAATATTCATAATTATTAAATTCAACAATAATTAACAATAAAATTTAACAATAAATTAATATTAATTTCCAAAACAAAACCAACATGTTTTAAACGATTTCATATTAAAAGAACATATTATAATATTTAAACACCACTTACCAGATAATAATTGTCATTCATACAATAGTTAATTAATAAATCTTTTCTAAAATATAATGTAGAAATGAGTAAAATTCTTTTAAAAGTATATATTATATTTAAATTCATTAAAATAATTTAGCAGTGTTTGTTTCAGAAAATATGTATAACACGGTTTTTTAATTTATTAAAATATTTAGTCCCGAAGAAATTGGTGAAAAATTTCCAAATACAATTTTTCAACAATCTATTCTGGTGTAGGTGGCCAAAAAACAAATTCAGGTATAAGATTCATTCTTGCCTCATCATTAGGACATTTCAAAATCCTATGCAATGTATCGTCAGTTATATTTGGACAATTATTACAAAAATCATTTTCTGCCTTCCCTATCCTTTTCAAATGTAATTTAAATGGTCCATCTCCAGTCAAAATTTGTGAAGAATAAAAATCGCATCTTTTTTGTATTAAAGGTACAAATGGTATAAAACTGTAGCGCTACTTTGGTTTTCCGGTAAGAAAGCGGTCGGTTCGGGGTTTTCGGAAAACTCGGGCGCCACCCTTAGGATTAATGTGGTTAAGGGCCCACGTGCACTAGGTAGCTTTTAAACAGTGGAGACGGAAAACCAGAGGTCAATATGCGCATCCTCAAAATGAAACACAGAATCCAACTTGCAAATTAAAGCTTTTATTTGCCCAATAACATAGGATAAAAGGAACAGTGAAAAATGCAATTAAATGAGAGACGAAGAGCGGGGAGAGTGGAACGAAGTCGGCGGGAATAATGTGTAAATACTATGTACGTGGCGGAAAATCGCGGTAATAAGATCGCGGAAAAATAACGGTATCGGTCAATAGGATTGCGGAAAAATAACGGTTTTGGTAAATAGCTCCAAGGAATTATTGATGCTAGGCTGCCGTGCTCCTACCACCTTCAGCTCGTATTCCAGGCGCATGCGCGAACTATGCAACCGAGTAGAGTGCAGGTTTAAAGAAAAGAGAAGGACAGAATTGGAGGGGTGCGTCACTCGGTATCGGTTCGGTCGGAGACGTCCCCACCAATCCTCTACGGAGAGAATAGAGCCGAAACGCTATTCGATCCGCAGTCCAGAGAATGACATAAGTATTGGAATGGAACCAAGAGAGATACTCCGTAATCGGTCCGGACAGACGCTCTCTTGGCTCGTCATGGAAAGATTAGAGCGCCCCGTAATCGGTCCGGCAGCAACCCCGTGCAATCCATGTCACCAATAAATATGCCAATGAAAGAAGAAAGAAATGTCAGAAATATAAGGATAGAAGCAAGAGTGAACCCCCGTAATCGGTCCGGACAGACCCCCCCTTGCCTCGTCATAGAAAGGATAGATAGCCCCGTAATCGGTCCGGCAGCACGCTATACAATCTATGATCCTTATACCCCTTAGAAGAAGATACCTGCCCTCTCACTCTACTTTACCATTGGTGACGGCGTCGCGGCGGCTGAAGACGGCGGCGGAGGTCGGCGTACCTTGGCTGTCGGCTGGTCGGATCGACTCGCGGCTACAGACAAAAATGCACTCTGGCTCCTTTGATTTCGAGGTTATGTTCTAATCTCTTTTTTCCTTGTCTGGTTCTAACGGACTTGACTTGATTTTTTGTTTACGTTTACTATTTAGAATTGGGGGCCTGGCCTGATAGGTAATTATTTTCAATATTTCTGAATATTGAGTATACCCATTTAAAATGCTGCAGTTAGTACTTTGTATTTTTTCCAGATGAAGAATATTCATTAATTATTATAGACGAAACTAGTAGTTACCGAGCTATAGAAAAAGAAAAATTGGTAAATGTTGTAAGTAAATCTAACCCCAATCCAAACAGAACAACCCAAGACTTGGAAACTAGAAAGCAAAAATTAATAGCTTCACTAACTCAAGAAATACAAAATATATCATCCTTTGATCAACTTGAAGCTGTTGAGAAAATTACTGCACCTGTTCATCCAACGTTGAACATGCTATGGATCTATTCGGACTCACAGATAAAAAAACTATTCCTCACAATAAGAATATACTTCCTCAAAGACGTTTATTTTCCACCAGAAATAAGTCCAAAAAGTCGAAAAAAAAATTGCTTGCAAAACCAAAGCCAGAAGAGGCAATTTTAATAGCAAATCAACTGTTAATTGATTCTTAATTAATTCCTGAAAGTAATAAGCGGTCATATTATGTAATGTCTTATAAATTAGAATATTATTAAGTTAATAGGCATCCCAGAGCCCAGATTTTTTCTTATTTTTAAAGTGCTTATTTGTTTATTTGTTTTGTGTTTGCCTTGTACCTAATCGAATTTGAATAAATAATTCGTTGCGTCTGCTCACGTGTTTAATTTTTCTTCATAAATTATCATTCATCTGTCTATACATAATAGGACACAGTAATTTACTTTCCTTTTTTTCCCAATTATTCTAAACCTCAAAAAAAATCAAAGTAAAAGTAAAAAGGTTGTGGATTCTTAAGAAGTTCAAAAATCACGTTTAAATAGGCCGTGGCTAAAGTAACAGAGGTGTTACTATAATTATTTTTTTAAAGTAACATCAGTTCAATGACGTCACTGATGTTACTTTTAATAGGGGTTATAGTACCAAAGTGTTTACTCTAATTATTTTCTTGAAGTAACGTCAATATAGTAGCAATATATAGAAGAAAGGTAGGTACTTTCTTTAGCAATTTAAACCAAGTAAAGGTGATATTCAACAACATAACAATAATATTTTATTTTTTATAAACCAAAAATTTGAATCAACATATTGATAATACAAATCTTTTGTGAGAAAAACGGCGTCTCCATATTCCTATTCCTCACATGCCCTTACAAAGGAACGGGAGTGTAGGTATAGTTCTCTCCTGCAGGTGAAATTCGATTGTTTACCTTTTTATGAGGGTGCAAAGTGAAAATTCAGTTTTCCATTTTTAATCATTAGCGGTATAAAATAATGGCCATCAACTTCAAGCATTTTTTTTCAGCAAATCAAGATAGGTAATTTCTTAATTTGGAGCTAAAACTATGATAATCTACAGCGAAAAAACTTCTGCCTAGGAAGGAAAATAATTTACTTTCCTCCATAGGGAGGCGAAATTACTATTTTCCTACCTGAAAAAAAGGTAACAAATTGTCACTTTCTGACAGTCATAAGAAAATGTGTCTTTCCTGCCTTGCCTATAATTGTGCCTGTTTTATAAGTATTCCATTCTATTCTTCAAAGTCAAGTCAGGTTATTTTTTATTTATTTCCA